AGTGATTAGCTGTTGAAGGGTCAATGTTATAGCAAGGTCACGAAAATCCAAAAAAATCCCTGTCTATTAACATGGAACCGTTTTTCACACTATTTTTTTGCTCTATAACTCAGTCAAACATAATCGGATTTTGATGAATCTTGGTAAACATATGTAGAACATTATTGTTCATTGTCCTGGCTAATGTGATTCGTGTCCGTTGATAACGACGGACATACGAACAGATTTTTGTATTTTTTGAGAGCCGAATATGATCAACGCTGCGTGGCGGAGTGTCTCTTTAAAGGTTTAGATTGCGATTAATCCACATTTGCATCACGAGCTGTCATTTTTTTGCTGTAAAATATTAAACATCATTTACCTTTCATGAAGACTTTATATAATCACCTATTGAGCCTTATTTATTTATTGAATATTAAACATTATTTTATTATATTTCTTTTGTAAGGGCGGAGTTTGGGAGTTGCATATAGTACAAATGTTAGGATGGTTTCATTTCTACTTTAGGAATTATAAGAACTTTAAGGGTAACTGCCTTCCCAAAACAGCGAAAGGCAGTAGAAGTTGAGACGTTGAGAGTGTGAGCACTAAACTCCATACCCTTAATTGATTTTCCATGCTTGCTGGCTAGTTTAACATTAGCGTTTGTATTTTATCTGGTAGATGGGATATCCCTAACGCATTTGGGAACTATTACCACAGGTATTATTCGTTAGGATTTTAAGGTGACAACTAGGACTGACAATGGATTCTTTACTAAAATCTTCTTAATGCTTATTTTATATATATATATATATATATATACACATACACGGTTTAGTTCTAAAGTATGTTTCTAGCTTAACTGCCCTACATTCTCTTCTCGAATCTTTTTATTGTATAAAAAAAGAATTTTCCGTAACCCCATTAAATTCAGTCTGTTTTACTTATTCAATGGTTTAAAGAATTAACAGTCGTTTGAAATATCAAACATTATCCGTTGTGATGGTATATACAGTTTGAAGTTACAGTTACGTTTTTCTAACTTGTAAACACCGTATGCGTTCTGATATACATTCATACAAAAGAAAGGATTTCCTAGCATAAAAATTTAAAAAGAAAGTTAAAATAAAATTATGGTGAGGCTGATTGAGTGTCTGTATTTAAAAAAATATTCTATAAATTTAGTTTGGTTGTTGTTAAGCGCAAGGCTATTGGGCTATCTGTGCTCTGCCAATAACGGGTATCTAAACACAATTTTTAGCATCTTAAACCTGCAGACTTACCACTGAGCCGCTTGGGAGCCATAAATTTAGACTCAACTGACTGATAATATTAACAAAGAAACTCATGTTATCATTGTGTTTCAAAACCAGAAGTTGTAATGATTTCAAAAAAGATAATCATTTCTATCATTTATATAAAACTTGATGTCATGCCAACCTTCACATTGCAGATTGCCACTTTTTGTGAGTTCAGGCTTACAACAATCGAAAGATACCAGCTCCGATACTGAACCAGGCACATTTGCAATTGCAAATGGACGTTGTGAAAGCACACAGAAGGTTATAAAACACACTTCACGATATCGGGCTTGTATGCGAGACACTCACTAAGATACTATCTGCTTGCAGTAAGGCATTAAACATTCGAAGAGAATCTGGATCTTGATTCAATCCCTTTTTATCTAAAGGAATGTTATGCATTTGGCGATGGCGGCCGTATAGTGTGAGAAGAAATAAGCATTGTGGACATGCAAATTATATCTTGCGGGATAGTACCATTAATTACACGTATTATAGGGACCACATCTTACGATCCTTTGCGCTGCCGTATATTGGAAAATACATAAAGAAAACATAACAATAAAGAAGCCTCCATGAAACCTTAAAATTATCTTCATCCAGAATGATTATTCTGAAGTTTTCATTATGTTATGAGAATCTAATTTAACTCATGCATAACTCATCTATAAGAAATATATTTTAATCATACATAACTCATCTATAAGAAATATATTTTTATCATACATAACCCATCTACAAGAAATATATTTTAATCATACATAACTCATCTATAAGAAATGTATTTTAATCATACATAACTCAATTATAAGAAATACAGTTAACTCATACTGATTAATTTGATCTAATTGATCATATGATTTAAATGGGTACTCCCCGCAAAATGTAGCATCTTCAACATGTTTTCTTCATCCCCGGACTTTTTACGAGGTCCTGCTACTGAGCTTGAGATAAGTTTGCACATGCGCTTTGTGACTGCTTCACAAATAGCCCTCAAACTATTTGTCTGGTTAATCGGACAAATATCCACTTGGTATTATTTAAATTTTATTTTCTCTGAAATTTTCAGCTATTCTAATGTAAGATTTCTGTTACCTCTATTTCACAAGAATAATACAAAATAATACAAGAATAATTCAAAGCTTGCATTTACTTTAATGTTGAAAGCTATATTACTGTAACAATTTCAACACATTTCATTTTATCGGAGAACATATGGAAAATGTGTGATTTTTTCAGATTTCTTCAACAACAGGAAAAACCAAAATTTGAATTACATTTTACTACAGGCGGGCCTCGTTAGCAGCTGTAGCTCTTCAGAAAGCATAACTGAAAATATATATACAAAATATTTGTTTCTTATTTGGAGGTAATGGCAATTTATTTACATTTTAAAATACTCAAGTCTTCGCTAAGTACTAACTTTAGTCGTCGTAATATAGATACAAGACTCAAACCGTATAGAAAAATGAATAAATATTCCAAATGATTCGATTAAAAATTTTATTCTGTTTCATTTCAATGGATAAAACATTCAGTAATACATGTACATCATGGGATTAATATAGTTTCTGAGTACACTGCTATAACTTAAGGTGCGTAAGGAAACTAAGTAATATAGTATTTACTGTAAGAACTAATAAATAGAACAATTACTCACTTTTTATTACAAGGTGCGGATTTTACAGAAAGAAAGGGTATTTTTTAAAACAGGTACAACGTTTCAATCGCTGATACGATCATTCTCAAGTACACACGTTTTTTGGCTTAATTTTTTACGGTTATAAATATATTTTTACCTATACTTACGCACTTGTAATTTTTGAAAACTATTCATGTCTAGTATTTTGAAACTGAAGCAGAAGTAAAGCCAAAACTTAAAACTAAACTATTGGTTTGAATTTCACGCAAAGCTACACGAGGGCTATCTGCGTTAACCGTCCCTAATTTAGCAGTGAAAACTAGAGAGAAGGCAGCTAGTCATCACCACCCACCGCCAACTCTTGGGCTACTCTTTTACCAACGAATAGTGGGATTGACCGTCAGTTATAACGCCCCCACGGCTGAAAGGGCGAGCATGTTTGGTGGGACTGGGATTCGAACCCGCCACCCTCAGATTGGATTAGACATGGATACAATATGTTTTATTATTCTTAATAGTCTTTTTCTTTTATTATTGCTGCCCATTCTAAAAAAAAATGTAATATATATTGTAAGATTATGGCCTGAAATTCAAAAGTATGCGAGGTCATTTACACGTCATCCACTGGTTATTAAGTGACGAACCAGAATGTTGTGATATTAATCATTTTTTATAATTCCATTAGTGTTGGGAATACTTACTACATTGAAGAAAACAAACATCTTTGCGCTATTGTAATCTATGCAACAATTGTGTTTTTCATTGTTTTCCTGGCATATACTTGCTTAAACATGCCATGTTCAATTTTCCCCACAAAAACTCCTAAAGTACCCGAAATGCCCAGTTTCAGTAGTCTCTGGCACATTGTTCTATCTATACTCTCGACTTCTGTGGTCTTTTTATAAAGCTCAAAATGCTTGATCATGTTTATAAGTGGAAACATTTAGCCTTCTTGGCTGCAACTTTATGAATGGAACAATATATTTCTGATCCTAACTCCATGTATACCATGTTGGAGTAAGTGGAATCGATTTGATGTTGAATTTCGTCGATTCTGACTTTTTGGTATTTTTGACACCATATGCGATGCAAGAGCTAAACGGCCAGATCAGAAACCCCTAGAATTTAGGCATTTTTTTTTATTCCTGTAAACTCCCAGTGGAGCATAGGGCCGCTACAACACCTCACCAACAGAAGGTGTTGTTGCAGTTACTTGTAGCAGGTTGGTTTTTACGGGGTGGAGTTGCTAGCCCCGCGCCCAACCCTCCTCTTTTCTCATCCTGGACTTGGGACCAGAATTTAGGCATACACACCCTTAATTTAAAGTTATTGACCAGATAAAGGACATCTGCTCACCAGTGTACTCACGCGACTACTCCTGATTGAATATCAAGATTGACTGTCACGATTTTAACGCCTCCACAACTGAAAGCATATCGGGGTTCGAATCTTGTTCCTGGGCCCACAGCTTAGCATATTAACCACTAACTCACACCTGGTCATGTAATTCTTCGAATGACACTACCATTCTCTCTGTGTGTCTTCTTTGGGTCCACCGGAGGGACAGCGGTAAATTTACGGACTAAAATCCGGGGCTCGATTTATCGTAGTGGGCACAGCAGATGGCCCAATATAGCTTTGCTTTGAAACAAACAAACAAACAAACAACGTCTGCATTGGAATTTCCATCCGTTTATTACACTTTAAATTATTGATTACGATAACATGCTCTAAATTTCTTTAAACCATAGCCATCGAAACACGAGAGTTTGAGCAAAATACAAATGAGGCCTGTTTTCATTATCTAATCCAATAGTTCGCGTCCGTTCTTCACTGTATGTGTTTTCGATTTTAGCTATATTGAAACTTTCAATGTATTTGAATGATGTGAACCCTTTACAAGTCAACCACTGCAATCATCTCATTATATGTGTATATATATATACAGTACACCATAAAACTGCGTCCAACAACTAAAAACAATTTTCATAATGCTTTAACTCACAAACCAGTGTTATTTGTGATGTGTTTATTGTATCATTTAACATCATAAACTTAATCTTTTTTAATTACTGTAGCTCCTCTGCAAGCTCTTCTCGAGCCAAAACGACTTCTGGTAGATGCAGGAAGCTCTGTAACTCTAACATGTAACATTACCGGTTATCCAGTGGAAACAGTTTATTGGATGAAAAACCAGCGTCCTCTTGTGGTAGGAAGTAGTAGAGTTCGAATATTATCTCGAGATACGCTTCACCTCAGTTCAGTTAGTAGAGAGGATAAAGGAGTGTACCAGTGCTACTCCAGAAATAAGGATAGTTCTACTCAAGCTTCTGTTGAACTATTGCTAGGAGGTAACTAAGTTTCTTATTCTAATCGGAGATTTAATTAACATCCTCGTGATAGCACGAGCTTAATATGTATTGTGGACAACAGGGGCAAAGATAAATGTAACGATTGTAAAACTTCAATTCCAAGAGCTCTCAAAAATTCTGATGATAAATAAAATCCTAACCATAACTTCTTTCTTTCCGGGGAAACTAATCTGTGAATGACGAAACTTCAAACTTTCCTTTGTCGTTTTGGTGGATTCAATCTAAGTGAACCACAGATGAAATACACAGGTAAAACTATTTGGTATTTTCAACGTGAACTGTTCTTTATATGACACAGGCTAAACTGCCAGGTTAAAGACCCATAAAGTTCAGACATAGCCGTCATCATTTAGATCGATTCACCAGAGGGAGAACAACCAATCAATAGTTATTTTATAGAACTAAATAGTTATCCTCTAGGAATTGTGGATTGCAGTATCTATTCCTTAGTTCTAAAAAAAAAAAATTGACGAATGTTATAATTTCTGTAATTTTATTGTAGGTGGTGTTTACCTCGTGGGTGCTCGGTGCTATTAATACAGCTTAGTCTTAAAAACTTTAAACCTGTCAACTTTTGCATTAATATGAGGTGAGATACAAAACAAGAAAACCAGTTTCTGCTTTTCTCTTCCTGCCGTTGTTTCAAAGTGATCCCCAAACTGATTAAATTTAGCTACGTCCACGAAAGCTGTGCCAGTGGCTATGCTGGATCCTATGGAGGTGTATAAAGTCTTTGGCTGTGACTGTGGTGGATTCTAAACATGTGTATAAAGTCTCTGGCAGTAACTGTGGTGGATTCTAGGCAGATATAAACTATTTGGTAGTGGCATGCTGGATTCTAGTCACGTTTATAAAGTCTTTGGGAATGAGTGTTGTGGATTCTAGGTAGGTGCAAAAAGTCTTTGCAGTGACTGTGGTGGATCTTAGACAGGTGTATAAAGTCCTTGGCAGTGACCCATGCTGGATCCTAGGCAGGTATATAAAGTCTTTGGTAGTGATTGTAGTGGATTCTATGAAGGTTTATAAAGTCTCTGGCAGTGACTGTAGTGGATTCTAGACAGATGTATTAAGTTTTTAGCAGAAATTGTGATGGATTCTAGGTAAGTTTAGAGAGTCTTTGGCAATGATTGTTGTGGATTCTAGGCAGGTATATAAAGTGTTTGGAAGTGACTATGGTGGATTCTATGAAGTAAGCACAGTATTGTGATATTTCAATCCTTCTTCAATTATCTTGAATATTTTTTTGATTTTATTTATTTTCTCTTTAATTATTGTTTTTTCAGTTTTATCTTGTTCTCATTGTGCAATTATTTGACAAATTTCAGGATTCCTACTTTCTTCGGACGTTCTTCTAATCTCTATGCCTCAACTAGTTCAAAATGTTTTATTATTAATTTGGTATGCTTTCGAGAGTCTTTACCTGCGTAACAGAACATTATCACAGCTTGATTTTGAAGAAGGAGTTCCACATTTTTTTTTTGGCTTAAGGACCCCCCCCCCATAACATTAGACCCCCCAATCCAATGAATCCATACAAGTAAATAAACTTATTTTTATTGCAAAGTATATTTCGAAAGAACGATATAAAATAAACTAAGAATAATGTCAATATTCTTTATCCTCCTCTGAAATAGTATCGCGACCATTCAACGACCCCCCGGACCCCAGTTTCCTTCTCATCTAGAGTACTGAAAGAAAAAGCATCATATATACGTAATGGTGGAATGTTGATGATCGTGAAGCCTAAGGATAAAAAAAAAGTCACTTGATTTTTAGGATTTTCATTAGTTTTGAATTTTTTTTTTTGTAACGAGCAGGTGCACAGTCTTTCAATCCTGCTCATGGGAAATACAAAAAAATTGGCATCTAACAAGAAGTTTAACAAAGACTTTCACAGGAATTTTATCTTGATCTTTGAAATAGGTTTAAATTTATTAATAATAAACTTACAAATAGATTAAGTAAGGTACAATTCCATGAATTACAGTTTATTGCCTTCAATTAATTTATGTATGAGATTAAGATGTGTATCAATAAAGCAATAACAATATGTATCAATAATGAAAATAATTCATATAAAACACCACAGTCAAGTTCATAAATTTAACAAACCCACTTGAAAAATATAACGAAGAAGAAACATTTGATTAAAATATAACATTTTTGACTTTATTATAGGTATTTTAACTAACCTGCAACAATTAGTCCATAATTAGTTGTAATAATATCAGCAAATTGTTCACATTCTTTGTTACATGAAGTTGTAATAAAAAATTGAAGTTTTTTTTGTCAATTTATATGATTTCACTCATCCAAACAGAGACTTCTCCCGTGTTCTTGGACAGTTTTAATGAACAAACGATCCAGCCTGGGCCTAGTGTTTCTTTACATTGTATTGCTTCTGGAACACCATTACCTCAAGTCACTTGGTCAGTAGACGGGATTCCTGTACGAGATGACGAACGCGTGCGCGTTGGAGACTTCGTCAGTCGCAATGGAAATATCGTCAGTCACGTGAACATAAGCGATACACATGTGGAAGACGGTGGGCTGTACACTTGTACAGCCCAGAATGAAGTTGGAATAATTCAAAATTCCGCTAGACTAAACGTCTACGGACCGCCAACAATTAAACCTTTACCAGACAGGTCAGTTGTGGCTGAGGAAGACGTGGTTCTACATTGTCGCGTGGCGGGCTATCCTATTCAAGAAATCATTTGGGACAAAGGTATGTCATAAAAGTACATGTTTAAAGATATTTTACATTTTAATTTAATATCTTATGTGTTATAAAAGTTTTGGAATTCTTTGAATTATGTACTTTTTTTAAAACACACATATATATGCTTTGCCAATTAACGTACCTAAACTAAATATTAAATGTTTTGATGCACGTAATCAAAACATCTGGTAACTTAAGCACGCATGGAGATATTCATTTTGAGTACAATAATATCGTTGACTTATGAAAGGCACTTAAGGTAATCAGTTCAAAAAA